AATTCTGCCTAAAAGATGGTACAACTTAAGTTTCTTTCAAATCCAAAATAAAAATCAATACATAATAATAATCTAAGCATCCTATAACTTTCATCTCCACTAATTTCTCATCTCCAACATAGATCCATCTTTCAAAATAAATGGGCTTCCAGTAGCTTAGGCAACCATTTCTTTGCACATCAAGCATGATATTTCGTACAATACTTTTTAATGTGTCCAACTTTATTACAAAATAAACATTTATCAAACTGTTTTTGTTTCCTTTGTGGTGGACTTTAGTAACAACAATGTTGGGATTTTAAGTTTTCTTCCTTTTTCCCTTGTCATTAGAGTTACTGGTTAAGTGAACACTTTCAGTCTTTTCTTGTTTCCATCTCTCCTCTTCTTGTACACAATATGAAATAAGCTCATTAAGAGACCATTTCTCCTTTTGACAGTTATATGATACCTTAAACTGTCCAAACTGTAAAGGAAGAGAGATCAAAACCAAATGTACGAGTAAGCCTTTCGACAACTCAAAGCCTTAAGTTTTGAAGCAATGTTTGACATCTCTATGATATACACTCTCACATTTCTTTTGCCTTGATACTTCATGGAAACCGAGCTTTGAAGAAGCACACTTGTTTTTGTCTTATCATTTTTCACAAAGTGTTTTTCAATCTCAATAAGAAAATCTTTAACACTTGTAATTTCTTCATATACAACACCTTTAAAGACCTTTGGAATGACGTGTCAGTAGTACAAAAACAGCGTACAACGTCGAATATTTTGGGCCTTTCACGTCGAATTCAAGAACGACGTTATATTAGGAGACGTTAAATTGACGTCGAATTTAAAAATTTCGATGTTAAATTTAACGTCGAATTTTATCAATAAACGACGTTAAATTTAAAGTCGAATTTTATCAATAAACGACTTTAATCAATTTTTTTATTTTTTTTAATTAATCGTGATCCTTTTTTACAACTCTACAAGACCTGAAAAGCAGAAAAACAACAAATTTCAATTTTTGATATTTTGTAAAGCATGAACTATGAACGTGTAATAGAGTATCCACAACAAACAACAATGACAAACAACAAACAAATTCAATTAAACAACAACAACAAACAAGTTCAACCAAACAACAACAACAAACAAGTTCAACCAAACAACAACAACAAACAAGTTCAACCAAACAACAACAACAAACAAGTTCAACAAAAAATAACAACAAACAAGTTCAACAAATAAGTTCTTCAAAACGAAAACGAAAACGAAAACTAACCTTGGTTAATCAGAATAAAGTGTTGCCACAAGTGAGAAAGAAAGCAGAATGCGCCTATGAAGGACAAAAACACGAAAATAATTGGTCAAAATTAACGAAAATCATACCTAAAGTAGTAAATTAACATGCATTTGTATCAAATGAAAGAAAGATTACATGTGATGGTCGTCAAACTTCGTTCGAGAAAAGTTTGAGCAGAGAAGAGGCTCTTGCGCGCTAAGATAAAGTGAATGAATTTTCAATCTCCCGCTCAAATTTTTATTGAATTCACTAACCTTTTGACGTCTAACGCTGGGGCATTCGACGTTTTATATTCTTTTACGTCGAATTACAATTCTAAACGACGTTTAATAATTGCATTTATTTAGAAAAATGTCACCGTTCATTTTTAACGTTGGCTATTGAGTGGTTCGACGTTGAACGCGTGACGTTATATGCTGTTTTTGCACTAGTGTGCTTAATGCGATTTGAGTGGTCCCATTTCTCATAATTTCTCCTCTCGTTAGAGGTACTTGAGTTTATAAGAGAAAAAGGTTTCTTATTCCTTAACGCGAGATCGAGGTCCATGTAGCTAAGAACTATCTCCATGCTCTTTTTCTAGTTAGTAAAATTTGTACTATTGAGGATCAAAATCGAATTTATATCGACAGATATTGAAGAAAATTGTAGTTGTATTTAACACAAGAGGAACAAATGAATTAAGCTCACACCGTAAAATTAATAATTATATAAATATATTCAAATAATGGTCTATCCCATCTCAAGACACCCAATGCACCATCAATATCAAGTCTTTGGGCATTGCTAGAGGTATCTTGGTTTAATAATCAAAACACTGACAATAAAACATGTCCAATAACAATCTATTTTTGGATTGATTTAAAATTGACATCAAAGCCTTATAATTATCATATATTTACCATCATAGGTGTGTATGCAGTACAGTCAAATATTAATCTTCCTTTGGATAGATCAATACTTGCATAGATATACATAAACATAAACATTCATAATTCTTCTATGAACTACCTTAATAAAACGCAAAAAAAAAAAAAAACAAATTGAGGATTTCCTAATTTTAAGTTTTCCAAATTTAGAGTTTCCAAATATTGAAGAAGAAAAAAACATAGAGAAAGGTAGTAACTAATATAACATTAATTAGGTTTTTGTTATTTTAATCCAAACGGTGCCTGAGTGGTGATCGAAAGAAGAAAATGATGAGAATCCTTAGAGAGAAGGTGGAGATGGTAAAGAGAAGGAGGAGATTCCGAAGATTGAAAATGAAGGGTGCATTCAAAAAAGTGGCACGACATTTGAAAGTTTGATTTTTACTTCTACCGTCAAAATCAATCGCCCAATCTGCATCACACATCTATCTTCCATTTTTTGAAATTCAGACACTCTTTAGCTTACACATCTACTCCACTAAGTTGGAGTTTTTATGGGTATGACAAAAGCACTGCGCATCAAGAAGAGACAGATTTTGGTGTGATGTTCTTAAACTAAGATTTTTCTATATTCCTAATCTATGGAGCGACTCAAATTAGTAACAAAATTGACTACATTAATTTAAAATAAAATGTGATACTATTTCTTGGAACGGTCTGGATGACTCATTAATTTTTTTTTCTTATCTGACTTAGAATTCTCATAGATTATATTTTTATTTGATATATTAGTCATTTCATAAGATATTATATTAAAGAATTCTCAATAGGACAACATAAACTATTAATAGATTATTACTCATTTCATAAATATTATATTAAAGAATTTAAAGCTCAATCAATAGTCTTAACAATCTAACTAAATTTTTCATTAGTGTCCAATAAAGTCAACCATAATAAAGCTTTAATATTTGTCTACCATTCTACAGTACTCATAAACAGTAACAAAATATCATGAAGTTATTTCTGAAAAAACTTCTCTTGTAATGATTCGACTGATTTAACATACGTGGTACATGTTTTTCTTTCTTTTTATTAAAATTTTTGTAGTAACATATCTAACATGAATTTATTTAAAAATTGTAATTAAAAATAGTAATCTAAATTATAACAAATTTAAAAACACAGAAAATAATATATTTTCTGCTATGTACACTGCTTGATGACAAAACAAAGTTTGTATTCCATTGTCAGATCTCTTATTTTTAATTCATTCTTTATAAAGTTTTTCTAGAGTAGAATTCATTATTAGTATTATCAATGATTAAGAAGAGTGCCACTATTTCATATCATTTAATTATTTTAATATTTTTTATTAACAAAAAATATTTTCTCTGTTCTTTCCAACAAGAAAATAAAGGATATTTTGTTATCTTTCCAATCTTTCCTTTTCCATCTTTCCATTTTCACCTTTTGTGCTATCTTTATTTTAGTGATGTCTACTCCACTTTGCTTCTCTTCATGGCCCTGGGCCATGGTTACAATAATAAACTAAAAACTAAAAAAAATGTTTAATATTTAAACAAATAACAGAGCATAATTATCCATTTTTACATATTTAGTGTGATTGGGATATGTATTTTTTTATTATCTTAATAATCAATTATAATCAGAATAAGTTTCTATTGTGAGTAAATCAGCAGAAAAATTATCTTAACATAATTAATTTTATTGTATTGAAAGACTAATCTTTTTGTTGTGAAAGGTTAAATATATTTATAGTCTTTAAACTTAAACTTGAATATCAAATTGAAATTCGTTTATGTTAATTGATACATTATGTTTTCAAAATTTTAAAAATTAATAAATATAATTATTAACTCAACAATAATTTTTTTTTGTTAAAGTATTCAATTGGTCTTCATATTTATTCAAAAATCTTACATAGGTCTTCATATTTGATTAATCTCAATTAAATATTTATTTTTTAAATTAGGATACAATTTGGTTATGTTAGGAAAACTTTATATTAGGTTTTTAAAGTTTGATAACACTATACCAAAATTTAGGACAAAAATAAATTTCAAATTTGCTCTAGATAATTAAGAACATATTTAACCCTCAAGGGAATTAAGAAAAAAAGAAGATATGTAGTTATTTTAAAATAATAAGACAGATGAAAATATAATAAAAGGGATAATTTTGATAGGGCAATCTTTAATCACACAGTTAATGCAGTAAAACGAGGGAAATTTTGTCAAAACAGCATATCTTAACATAAAGCCCATCATTCTAGCATAAATGATTTTGTTTTTCTTTTTAAAAAACAAAATGCTAATGCTAAACAATTACTGCTACCACAAATGAATATGTTATGTTAAAGAACACGCATTCCGTTACAAAAGTGAGAGAACCCAAATTCATTTTGGGGCCAAGAAAATACTACTTCCTTTTAGGCCCAAATAAAACTGCAGAGCCCAAATAAATATCACGAAGCAACATAGCACGACTCAATGCTTAGCATAAATAGCATAATGTTTATAACAATAAAACCAAAACCATAATCTCATCTTAAAAAACATGTCAATAAAAAGTGAAATCGTTATTTGCTAACAAATTACATATCAATCGGAGATCAATGGAGGCATATTTACATAATGTTAAATACTACTGAATGCACCTAATCCAATGCAGTTAGTGGCATAGGCTTTCTGCATAGTATAATGAACCAGTTATGCGTGAAATGGACCTTAGGGGCTGGGAGAAGGAAAGTCCTTAATAGTAATGATCTTCACAATGGATAAAAACTAGTTAGGTAACTAAAAACCTCTTTTAAACAAGTGTCAGGATTCCAAAGCACTGTGATTGTATAACCACAAATTTATTTAACAAGGATTGTTGCGTACTAATAGCAAATTAGTGTTCTCTACAGTATCTCATTTCTCAAGACCAAAAATGTAAGTAAAGTGCATTCAAAATAATGATAAACAGTTATCCATTTAAAGAAGTTGACAGACATCAATCTTGAGTTGCAGCTCCTTGGTTGAGCTCGGCAAACCTCATGCCAACCCGCATAGAATGCTTCAGAAATTTCTCTGCACATCTTCGAACACAGGATTCCTCTTGCTTTTGCAGGGATTTATGCTTAAATGTGTCAACACAATCAGTAAAGCATCTCTCAACAAGTGAATTATACATTCTCAGACTGCAATGAAACATAAATCTTACTCAGGAATGCCACCTTATACAAAGCAAAAGATCAACTAAACAAAGATTTGCTATCTCATAATTGACAATGTCAATTTCAAAACAGAAAGTTATTCATATATTCAAACATTTACCTTTCACAGATAAAATAGACTGTTTTAATGTCCCAAACTAAAACATTTCGGCATAATTTTAAAACATAATAAATTATTAACTTCATTCTTTATAGAATAGATATATCACCTAAAGGGCGCATAAAGTAATGAGCTATATAGTTAAACCTCTTCAATTAGTAGAAACCATTCCAAGTAGTTCATCCAGTATTGAAAAACCATCCATGATTAACCCACGGTGGTAAAATATATCAAACATAAATACATCACCGTATTAGTTTTATAACTTTAGGGATATTTAAGAAAAAATTGATAATTAGAATACCAGAGTAAGTCACCACAATTTCACAGCTATGCAAAGATTTTTAGAGGAACCACAGCAGTAAGTTCCCGTAATTACAAAATGGAGAATGGTAAAGGGCGTTAATTTGATTGAATGGAACTTATTTGAAACCATCTAGGCCGGTTTCAACAAATGTAGTTCCCAAAACGTCCAGAAGCAACATTCGCGTGCTGCGCTGGTTTTAAGGAGAACTTCACTCTGGGCTTCATGGAAAGGGCACACACAGATATTCTATAAAGAAAATAGTGTTGCCCATCACTAACAAATTAGCATGAAAGCCACAAATCTAAAAGGTAGTCATCAACACACAAGCTCATACAATATACATAAATTCCAAGTTTCCAAAAATGGAAAACGAATAAATGTAGCAAACTGAAGGTGATGAGAAGCAAAACGGAATTAAACCTATCACGGATTTGGAGCTGTTCCATCATGGCAGACATTCTTTGCCTATCCGCCTCAGGAAGCGATTCCAGATCCGCTAACATGCTTTTGTCCATACTTGATCCACCGATCAGTAACCGTCGAAGGGTTTTGCTAGAAAGTACGGAAGAAACTGCGATCGAGACAAAACCCTAACGCTGTAGAGAAAAAAGAAGAAGGTATATATAGGTCACACCACCAGTTTCCACTTAACCTAAAATTATTCAGGGTTTCAGCTTTTAACTAAAACGCATCGTTCCACGTATATTTTTGCCCCTTTTTGTTTTGTTTTTTTTCTTCCCAAATAAGAGTTAAAAGGCTGATAAAATGGGGTTACATTTTTTTACTTAAAAAACACGAATCAATTTGTTTTTTTCCAAAATTCAAATACGTGATAATAATAATATTTAAGCATGCTTCCAATAAATTTACTTTAACTGCTTTATGTATGTTTATTTTTTTATGATAATAAAAAATAATAAAATTATTATTATAATTATAGAGTAAATATAAATAATTTTTATAATTTTATTATCGATAATTATTTTAACTTCAAAAAATAATTAAATTTTAAAAAGCAGTCAAATAAAAAATATCAATTAAAGAGTATATTTGATAAAATAATTATTTTACTTTAAATAAAAGTTATTTAAAGGATACATAATAGAAAATAAATGTGTACACAGAAAATGAAGAATCTTTTTATATATTAGTAATGGTATGGATACATAATATATATAATTATCTGGTAAAAAAAAATTTAATGAAAGGGTCTGTAACACTTTTGAGAATTTTTTACTATTTTTAAAATTCCGACGTATTTTTTAACATCAACAATTTAAAATTAAATTTGATATTTTAAAAAAAGTCTATCAATAACTAAAATAAAAATATATCACGGTATAATTCTCTAATCATAAATATAAGACATAATTTAACGTTAAAAAATATTTGTTAAAAATATTAATCATGATACGATAATTACATATTCACAAAAAAAAATATTATGAATTTTAACTATTTAACATAAATGTTTATTCTGCAAATTTACCAGTTAATTTTAGACCTCGTAATTCTAAAGTTTATAAATCTGCAAGCTATGTGATTCGGAAATTCAAATTTATAGTTCTCAACTTTTTAAAATGAAAATAATATTTTATTTACCTTTTAGTTTTTGTTTTTTGTTTTTTTGAGATTCGAGTCCAAAATCTCGTTTTCGGCCAATGTTATTTTAAAGCCCAGAAACTTGGACAGAAAGCCCGTTTAGGACCCGACACTATTAATTACTTACGGGACAAATATAAATCAAAGAGTATATATATACAATCAATTTCTTTTGCTCTTAATTATTTTTTAAATAAAAAAAATTATGTTTATAGTATTAATCAATCAGAAGAAAACATTAGAAGTAAAATTCCAGCGGTGCAAGAAAACTATATCAGTTGACAATTATCATATTCTCATAATTTAGTTTCCATATACTATCATTTGCAACACTGTATTGTTTTACATTTTGCTACTCCTTTTATTGTTATAAAACAATAAAATTAACTTTTAATATTATTTAATCAACTCCTCTCCTTTTTACCATCATTGTAGCACTGAATATATAATGGTTGGAAAAATAGTCAAAATTTAACTTGTTTCATTTAGTTGATTAATATAATATATAATACTCTTTACATACATAAATTTTCTTACAACTCTCACATATCACATTTTTTTTCGCCTTTTTAGTAAAAATATAAACTAAAATAAATTTCAATTTTTCTTTTCAAATATGAGTAAAAATGAATCTAATATATATTTTGGTCTTCACACGAATAAAAGGTGTTAAATGAATATTGTTATTATTTTTACTAAACTAAAATAGATCTTCTTTTTTTCACGAGCTTTTTTCTATTCTTTCTTTATTGTCCAAGCTTTTTTTCTTTTCAAATAATCAAAGTATTCTTCTCCTTCTGGCCAACCTTATTCTTCACACCAAATCCAAACACTTCAAACTTGACATTCACTTTGTTCGTAAGAGTGCTTAGAATAAGCTTCCCTATTTACTTCATTTTCTTGCTACATTCTAAGTCGTTGATGTCTTCAGTGAATCATTATCCAATACTATTTTTCATGTTTTTACTCGTAAACTTATGGTGGTTGATAAACCTACCATAAGTTCAAGATGGGTTTTACATAAACCTTCTTAATAACTTCTGTTACATTGTGTTTAGTCTCTGCTATGTAGTGCATGTATACATATCTTTCATTTTTCTTCTATAATGAGATACATCTAGTAAATAATACAAGTTTCTTTTCTTTTGTTATTTGGTTCTTTCATGAAAGCGTCAACGAGTTTATTGTTGGAGTAGATTGGGAGGAGACATAACATATTGCTCTATAGTTTCACACAAACCACATGATAATCGATATCGGTGTGTTTTGTGCATTCGTGGAAGGTAGGGCTATGAGCAATGTGTCTGACTGACTGATTGTCATAATAAAAAATTATTGGAAGGTCAATTTGAACGTATAGATCACGAAGAAGGTAACTAATCGACTAAACTTCATAAGTTTTGGTGGTCAGGGCTTTGTACTCAACTTTTGAGGAGGACCTAGAACTTGTAGAGCAATAACCTTTGTGCTCAAGAAAGAGGTAGAGGAAGAAACCTCAATCAAGGTAAATTGTGCACTTACTATCACAAAGTGAATCACACTACAAATGAATCTTATTTGAAATATGAGTATCCTCCTTGGTATAAGCAAAGAGAAGATCAACATAATAATAGTCAAGATAAAAACTATTACAATGAGAGAAATGGAAACACTCAACATATGTGCAACCTTAATGTCAAATATGATCAACATGAATCTACTAGTAAGCTTTCCAAGGAGGACAATTCTAACACATGCTTAAATGTTGAACAAATTCAAAAGCTTTTGAAACTTATTAAGGACACAAATGGCTTAAATCACACAGTTAGTCATGTCCAAAGGACCAACAACAATGTATATACTCTTAACAGAGAACAAGGTAAATTCTGAATTTTAGACACAAGGCTACTAATCATGCAACAAATAATATAAAACAATTTTTTATATTTTATAAAATAAAACCTATAATTGTTAGGCTCTTTAACAACATTTCTACTTTCATAATTGAGTGTGCTCGAACAAAATACTTATCTGGAAAATTCGTCATTATTAATGTTCTTTACATTCCATAATTTTCTTTGAATCTAATCTTTGTTCAATCTTTTACTAAAGACTTACAATACATAGTAATTTTTACCTCTAAGAATTGCCAGATACGGGACAATACTTCATACAAGATGATTCGGTGTGTTAAGATGTTGGATGGGTTATACCATCTTGATTCTTCCATTTCAAAAGATTATCTCTCTACTAATACTTTTTTGAATTGCTCTTATACCATATTAGAACCACTATGGTATACGGCGAGGTGGAAAGGGCATGACATGTCATGAGCACATCAAGAAAGGAAAGCGGAGAATAAGAAAGACGAAAGCAAGAAAATTAGGAAAGAAAAATTTCTTATTGATGTGTATATGTTTTTGTGTGTTTACAAAAAATAGTTGAACCTATATATAGGTTTCAAACAAAAAAAAGGAAAAGCACGCTAGGATGAAATATTGCTTAGCCACTTGACTAGCTCGGTGAGTCGGCTAACTCAGATTGAAATTACAATTCAATCAACTCGACTAACTTAACCTTAAAACGATTTCAATAACTTTTGTATTTGTATGTTTAATTGAAAAAAATGCTAAGACTATATTAACCCAATAACAATCCTACCTTTTTTTTCAACCTATATATAAAGATCATCCCTAGCAAGCAACTAAAAAACACCAATTAGTCCTAGTAAGCCGTAGATCCCATGAATGGCTTGGAAAATGATTTTGAAGTGTACCCTCCAAGTTAAGATTTTACTATTTGATAGGGTGACAAATGATGGAAGAAACATTAAAATGGTATTGTCAAAGTTGTTGATGACATATAGATAGAATGAAACGAGAGAGAAAACACGTAATTATAAACGTTATTGTTGATGGTTGGGTTGAAGCTAATGAGATTGAGATTGACAATGACGATGGTGCGTAGCTATTGCCTAATATGGTCAAATCTCATGGATTGTGTATGCTCCATGGCTGGCATTCTAATAATAAAATGTCTCTCTTTCTCACTAAAACTTCTTCTCCCTTCATCTTTTTCATGCCTACTACTCTTTCTATTTCTAGTTCTCTTTTTTTGGCACATTGACTTTCAAATATTGAACTCTGACATTCCCTTTGCCCATTCAACAATCAAATACAATTCCAATGTGTCTTCACAAAATCAACTTTGACAAAAGTTCAACTTACTAATCAGAGAACAAAACAATTTAATTTGGATTCTGAACATTATTTATGTATCACTTTGTAATATTTACGATAATTTATATAAAATATATATATATATATATATATATATATATATATATATATATATATATTGTGATAACTCGGTAATCATATTCTTAAACTATTTAATAATTTACTCTTAACTAACTTTCTTGGTGAGATCAAATAAGAGTGATAAATTTTTCTAGAACAATTCATTAAAAAGATACGGCACTAATAAAACTAATAAAAGTAAACCATATTTTAAAAAATATATAAAATGAATTTTCTAAAAATAAGATAGCTTGTTTAGTTTAGAGCAAAGAAAATTCAGCTAACAATCAAGTGCAGTACTGGTATTCAGATTTTTAGACTTTCAAGTGTGGCATTTGATTTCTTGTCCTTTGGAATTGGTAAAAGTTTTTATGAACCATGAAAAAGTGGTAGACTCTAAAAGCATAATTTTTAAATGTATGTACGTATATATAAACAGGTAGAGTCAAGTTTAATTTATATGGAAAATGTTAAAATATTTTTTTAATTAATTAAAACATATAAAAGGCGAGGATGAATTATATTTTGCAGTTTTTTTTATAAAAAAAAATTGCGAGCAAATAGAGGTGATTTAAACTTAAAGTTTGATGTATGTTAAGACGATAGAGAGCATGGGAGATGTCTACTAATGTTTTATCTTCGTAAACAAAAATTAACATAACTTCAAATAAAAATAAGAAATTAATAAGATGTGAGAAGAAAAAACACAATTTTTTTTTAAATTTTTCTTA